TTTACTCCCGACACTCAAGACGAATGGCTCGACTATATTCGACGGAACTACCAGGGATCACTGACTAATTTTCTAAGCGTTGCTTTTTTCGCCGTCGTCATCGGAGTCTGTTACCACATGACTGGCCATATGGCCACCGAAAGAGAAATAGGCATGTCCCAGTTGCTCGATGCCATGATGCCCACAAAATACCGATGGCAAGCCCAAGTCGCGAGGTTGCTCTCCTACCACATTGCGTTTACTGTAGTGTATATTCCGGGCTGGGTGGTAGGTTCCGTCATCATAGCGCGCGGAGTCTGGGCCGACACGAGTGTCGCCATTGTACTTATTTACTTCGTTCTCGTCGGTCTTGCTTTGACGTCACTCTCAATCCTAGGCGCTGCATTCTTCAATAGGTCGCAATTATCAGGTGTCGTGACAACGATAACTTATATTCTGCTGGCCATTTTGGCTCAGACTCTCAACTCACCCAATACTGCGACTGTCGCGACTTTGAGTTTACTCTTCGTACGTATTTCTCCTATTTATCCGTCTTCTTCCCCAAGTTATCTCAAGAATCAGAATCCCAGGTGTTTCTATCACGAACATTTAGTTTGCCAGATGTGTTTTCTTCGCCGTGTTTTGATTTCCTCTACGGAACTAACTATATCTTTCAACAGACACCTTGCAATTTTGTTTGGTTTTTGACTCTCATCGCGAGATTTGAAAGACAATCATTTCCAGCGGATTTGGTTGGGACAGCCCCTGAAAACCCGTGGAACTTACCTGGTATTGTTTTCTGGGTATTTCTCATCATCCAGATTATTGTCTACCCTATCATTGGCGCTTACCTTGAACGCGTATTGCACGGCACGACCACGAAGGGACGCACGATTCTCCAAGGACAGACCCCCGAGACAGCCCCGGTCGATGCCGTTCGCCTCGATGGCTTCACGAAGATTTACTATCCTAACCCTCTAACTCGGTTACTCCCCTTCAGCTCAACGCCAAGGGAACCGGTTGTGGCTGTGGATAAGCTGAGCCTAACCGCAAGAAGGGGTCAAATTCTGGCATTACTTGGTGCGAATGGTAGCGGAAAGAGTACAACACTTGACTCCATTGCCGGCACCACTAAGTTAACCAGTGGTGATATCACAATCGACGGCACTGGAGGACTGGGCATTGCACCGCAGAAGAACGTTCTGTGGGATGAATTGACTGTGGAAGAACACATCCACATCTTTAATCGGTTGAAGTCTCCGAAAAACACCGCATCCGCAAAGGAAATCAGCGAGCTGGTGATGGCTGTGGACCTTGGGCCAAAAGCTAAGGCTATGTCTAAGACGTTATCAGGTGGCCAGAAACGAAAGCTGCAGCTCGGGATGATGTTAACTGGCGGGAGCGCAGTCTGCTGTGTTGACGAAGTGTCCTCCGGCATCGATCCCCTCTCGAGACGTAAGATCTGGGATATTCTCCTGGCTGAACGTGGAAAGCGAACGATTATCCTCACAACCCATTTCCTTGACGAAGCCGATCTCCTAGCTGATCATATCGCTATCCTTTCCAAGGGCACGCTGCGTGCACAAGGCTCCTCCGTCGAGCTTAAGGACAGGCTGGGCGCCGGATATCGTGTTCATGTTTTCAACGCGAGGGAAATTAAAAATCCCCCAGAGGTTGAAAATGTTACTCGCAAGATAGGGTTTGATGTGATCAGCTACATCGCTCCGTCTTCTAGCCTCGCTGCCGAAGTCATACGCTCCCTAGAAGCTGCAGGCATCCACGACTACAAGTTCTCTAACCCTACCATCGAAGACGTGTTCCTGCAGGTAGCTGAGGAAGTTCAAGGTGAGGCTGCTATCCGATCAGCAGAAACTTCATCTTCCGCCGAAGTTAGTAATGATAAGCATGCGAACTCTGAGCAACCTGGCAAGCTCGAGAAGGACAGTTTGGAACTGTTGTCTGGACATCCAATCGGTTTCGGCAGACAAATATGGGTGTTATTTATGAAGCGATGCACCGTCCTCAAGACAAATTGGTTCCCATATGCGGCAGCTCTTCTCATTCCAATCATAGCGGCGGCTTTGACACAGCTCTACGTTACAAACCAGCATGCAGTTGGGTGCAGCCCAGCCAGCCAAGATTCGAGCGGTGATACAGGCACATCGGACCTATATAATGACTTGTTCTTAGTTGCTGGCCCATCTTCACGATTCAGAGATCCTAGTGTGCAGGCACTTTTTGCCCCCGTCCTCGGTGGCCCGAGTCAAAATCAATCTGGATCTGCATCAGGCAACACAACCAGGGCTGCGCCGGGTCCAGTAACCTCATTCTTTGATAGTCTGCACCTTGTTGATTCTCTGGCCGAATTCAACAACTTCGTCGTACAGAACCGAAAGGATGTTCAACCTGCAGGTTGGTGGCTCGGAGATGATAATTCTCCCCCTACTGTGATATATAAGGCAAATGCTGGAGACGTCTACACTTCAACATTTGGCCAGAATGCTCTGGATATGATGCTAGCGAACACCAGTATCTCCACGAGTTATGCGCCTTTCGCTTCACCTTGGACACCAAACACTGGAAGCTCTCTACAGCTGTTGATCTACTTCAGTTTAGCTCTTTCGATCTATCCTGCTTTCTTTGGTCTCTATCCGAACATCGAAAGACGACGAAATGTTCGTGGACTGCAATATTCGAACGGAGTGCGTTCGCTCCCGCTATGGGTTTCCTATACGGCATTCGACTTTGCGATTGTCCTTGTTTCCTCCGCAATTGTCACTGCCATCTTCGCCGCGTCCTCTGATGTTTGGTACAACGTTTCCTACCTCTTCCTCATATTCATACTATACGGTCTGGCGTCCATCCTATTCTCATACGTCATATCCCTTTTCTGTGGCAACCAGTTGTCAACGTATGCCTTCTCTGCAGCTGGCCAGGCCGTGGGCTTTCTGATCTACTTGATCGCATATCTGTGCGTTCTTACCTTCGCGCCGGCTAACCTCATTGATTCGTCCATCCTCATATCCCATTTTGTGATTTCGGCCTTCGTACCTATCGGCTCTGTCGTCCGGACCATGTTCGTCGCTCTCAACCTATTCTCGGTGGCCTGTGATGGATATCAATTGCAAAGTAATCCTGGGGCTATGACGGCCTACGGTGGTCCAATTCTTTATTTGATCGTGCAATCCGTTATTCTATTTGGTGTCTTACTATGGTACGATAGCGGAGCAGTGCGCACTATCTTTAGCCGCTTTACGAAAAAGCCTGTTACAGCTTCTAGGGATGGAGCTGCCTCGGACGAAGAGGTAGCTAATGAACTCGTCCGCGTTACAAGCACCGCTCAGGAGAGCGACGGTCTTCGGGTGTTACACTTGACTAAGTCGTTTGGCAAGAACACCGCTGTTGACAATGTCACGTTCGGCGTCCAGCACAGCGAGGTGTTTGCGTTGTTAGGACCCAACGGTGCCGGTAAATCTACCACCATCTCTTTGATCCGTGGCGATATTCAACCGAGTCGCAACGGAGGCGACATTCTTGTTGAGAACACATCTGTCAGCCGCCACCGTGCCGAGGCTCGATCCCACTTGGGCGTGTGTCCTCAGTTTGATGCTATCGATTCCATGACAGTGCTCGAACACTTACGTTTCTACGCGCGCATCCGAGGTATCCCAGACATCGAGCACAATGTACAAGCTGTTCTCCGCGCCGTGGGTCTTGAGGCCTTTTCAACACGCATGGCGCACGCGCTCTCCGGCGGAAATAAGAGAAAGCTCTCCCTAGGAATCGCACTCATGGGTAACCCCAGTGTCGTTCTTCTTGACGAGCCCAGTTCAGGTCTCGATGCAGCGGCTAAGCGTATCATGTGGCGAACTCTGCACTCCATCGTACCCGGCCGCTCCATCCTCCTCACAACGCACAGCATGGAGGAAGCCGACGCACTCGCGAACCGCGCTGGTATCTTAGCCAAACGTATGCTGGCCATGGGCAGTACCGAAAACCTACGCCAACGCTTCGGCGACGCGCTGCACGTGCATCTCGTCAGCAAGACCGCACCCCACTCCACAACGGAAGAGATGGAACGCGTGCGCGCTTGGGTCCTGGACACATGGCCCGGCGCCGACGTCGAGCAAAAGACGTACCACGGGCAAATGCGGTTCTCGGTGCCGGCCAGCGCAGTAGCCGGAGGCGATAAGGGGAGCGCCAGCGCCGTCGGCAGACTCATCGTCGTGCTAGAGGAGCATAAGGAGGAGCTTGGTATCGAGCACTACTCGTGCACGCCGACAACGCTAGACCAGGTGTTCCTGACGATCGTCGGGCAGCATAATGTTAAGGAGGAGGGGTATAATGAGAAGAAAAAGAAGAGTTGGTGGCGGCGGGGGTCGTAGGGTAGAGGCGCGTTCCATTTTTTATGATGCATCATCATATACCACTACTCATATAGAGGCATAGTTTCATATAATAAGGGATGGTCGGTTTATACAGGTTGGAATGGCATGGTTATTGGTACCTAGACCATTAGATGATAAATACATGGAATTCATGGAATGGTGGTGGGTCGGATTTACTTATACCATAGTTTCTTTCGTGTCTTGCAATACAAAATTGAAGTATACATAAATACCTTGTGTTCTCACGGATTTCGCTACGTGAGGATGAGTGAGCCGTGATCAATGATGAGACGTGTGTGTTGGCTTGCTGGCATCTAAATTCACTAAGCAATTAGGTAGCAGACTCGAGGCAGAATACAGGGACATATCGCAAAAGAGCCTTAATAGTGAAGGTGCGAAGAAATAACACTATACCATTAGAGGATTTATCATGATAATTAAAACTTGAAAGTGAAGTCAAGGTCAAAAGGCGTAGACGTGAAGGAGGCTTCTGTTTTCACTGGTTCTCCAACGGCCTCCTCTACAGGCACGTCAATGCGCCGACACAAAAAAGAATTGAAAGTCACTTTGAGCGGTCAATCATTCCGCAGAAAAGAACCAACTTAACCAGCATGCGAAAAAGGCAAAAGTAAAGGGTCTGACCGGGGATCGAACCCGGGACCTCTCGCATTTTTACACAGGACACTGTGCAAGAGAAACCTTTTAAGGGCCCAAAGCGAGAATCCTACCACTAGACCATCAGACCCAATAGGCGGTGTTTGTTCAGAGGAACGCACACCCCTGCTGATGATTGTCGGCTGCTTAACCGCCGCTATATTTACTAGTTTTTGGCCCCCATATTTTTGATTCGTAACGTTCGAGTTAGGTCGGTGCGCTAAGTCGCACCAACAATGAACCTGTCTTAGATTAATGTCGTAAAGCTGATCTCGAATCGTGCATTGTATTAGATGCAGGCAAGTTCTAAGTGAAATTGCCGGTACTGTATCTGCCACATTGTTACCTAAGAACATTTGAAGGTGATTGGTTCTAAGCTTTAATGTTTCTCTGAACATCGAATTGTTTGACAGATTCTTTAAATGCTCACTCTAATTACCAATTATCACAATTTCATACCGCGCTTTATCTATACGATATCAGTGTGCTTTTTTTTGATATTCGTGTCCATTCCTGGTGATAGGATATATGTAGGTAGGTAGATCTTTGTAACCGAGGTGCCTAAGATGGAATCTTCGCTTTTAGAATCTAGAATCGGGTATATTATTAGGTCTACAAGGTCGCGCACCTCGGGTTGGACCTTGGGGTGTCGCTCTATCTTAGATATATATGATGCTTCTTGGATTTATCATGGCAATGAATCGAGGACCAACGCCCACAAGTTTCAATGGCCTTTCGCATTTGCGTGATCCTGTAACCAAGCTGCAGCAATTTCCTCGCCACTGCCTCCAAGCTCAAAATCACCAAGGTTGGGTCCAACGTCATGGACTTGGACCCTTCTAGCAGCTTCATCCTGCCAGCTTTCGAAATCGTCATCCCATTTAAAACGCTGCTTTAGCTCGATTTTATCGATACTTCTACGCATCAGCCCTACGAGTTCCTCGGCCTGCGCCCTGAAACTGTTTCCTATGTACTCTTTCTTCCGCCTCTGGCGCCTCCTCTGAAGCGACGGCGGCAAGGGAGGCGGCGAAGAGTGCAATAGCAACATCTCGGGAATTTTAAGCGTTGAGATTCTCGGTGGAAACCCAAGCGGGCTTTTCCTCGGTGATTTCGAGGGCGCTGTTACTTCGTGTAGCTCCTCTGCAGGCCGGTCTAGCTCCTCAAGCAGGGAGGTGGGAGGAGCGAGGGCTGATGCGTCGAAAGACGGTGGTACGAAAAGGCCTGGCGTATGGAAGAACAGACAGGAACTCGCAAAGGGATCGAAGAGATTATCCGGTCTTCCGAACAACGCTTGGGCGTGTTGCTTCAAGTCCTGGAAGTCAAGATCGGCCGGTCGAGCTAAGATCTCCTCTAATATCGACCGCAGTTTCGGTGCCTTATTAATTGGGTGATCGGGGAGGAACATAGTCCAATTGTATATCCCATTGTAGGCGACGCATCCTCGAACACCCATCCGGTGATGCGGATGAGTTTCCGTCAAGGCAAGCGATGTTGCGAGGGATGCACCAAGATACGACCCATAGATATATATATCGCGGCGGGAATAATTTGACGGGCCGAGATTATCGACTATCCAGTCGTACGCCCTTGCCGTATCATGGATAGGAGCCGGCCAGGACAGATGAGTCGATTCATCCTCTCCCGACTCTCCGGGACGATCTGAGACAGGCAGACCACTAGCCTCAAAAGGAGCGAACCCAGCCCAACGATAGTTTATCACGGCCGTCGGCCATCTCTGAATGAACCTTGGCAGCTGAGCAGGTTTTTCAGAGAAGGCTGTTGAGTATGGCGGTAGATACACCAATAAGGGGTCTGACGATGAGACTTTGGCGATATTGTGTAGACTGCTCACTCATTCACTCATAAGTTAGAAGAAATAATTTGAAGTAAATGTATTTCATGTTTTACTTACTCGATGTTGATGGTACCCGATGAGCCATTGCGGATACTTATTCGTTCCACATCGTTGACAACTGCGCTAAAGCGTTTTGGCCTTTGGCCACGAAGGCCTGTAAATACTGGTATCCTACACGGAATCCATCTTCTCATCTTCTCCTCGAAGCTTAATGTTTACGAAATGACGATTGAGCGAAATACTTCAATAATGGTAGAAGAAAGGGAGCTCATTTGTCAAAATTCGATTTTTCAAGATATGGCTTTCTGTTGACTCCATTAGACGCGTGATTAATATCATGTGTAAAAACAGATAGAAAGGGAAGTGAACTAATGAAGCTTGGTTTAACGCGTCGAGCCACAAAAATGATGAAAGCTAGGTGATAAACGGATCATATCTACGGCCTCTTTGCGCCTAATCATTCGGCGGCTTTGTACGGATTTTAGCGGACGGTCAGCACCAATCACGTAACATTCCAGCAGGTTATTCCTCCATGATCCTAGCAGCCCGGACGCTAGAATCACTAAGAACGCCTTGAGTCGATGCCAAGCGACGTCATCCCACATGAGCATTCCCATCAGGACATACCGCCTGACCCTCCTTGTCTTGCTTTTATATTCGCATTCATCAGCCAGTTATTTGCATTTCTTGATCATGAATATGTTTATCCCCTAATTCTCCAATAGCCTCAAGAGATACGGTACCTCTTTAGAATCGTAGTATACAGTGCCTTTCAGTCTCGGAATTAGAAGTCAACAAGGCCATGGATTAACAGTCTTTGTTGACCTCTCCACACTCTCATATCCCGAGGTCGAGTACCTAATCACTCCGTCTGCTTCGAGATGGACGATGCAAATCTGGGTGACAACATCGACGAACAAGCGCAAGCCGTGGACGGCTCTGCGCACGAGAGAGTCGGTAACAATGGAAGCATTACAGATCAAATTCATCTTGACCCCAGGTGAGGAAGCTGTCGCATTCATATCCGAGGAATACCGAGGCTGACTGGCTCAATATAAACGTAGTCGCTGGTGGTTTGCTTCGGCTGCATTCCCTATGATAGCTGGCACGCTAGGCCCCGTGGCTTCAGCATTTAGTATTTGTGCGCTTGTGAAGAATTGGAGGCAGCATATCCTACCAGGGTCCGACGTCACGAAAGCTGTGTTCATCCCGGATCCAACATGGCTCCTAGTTGTGAACGCCATCCAACTGGTCATTGCTATAGTTGCAAACGTGTTCCTGTTGCTCAACATGACTAAAAGAGTACGCTTCTCGATCGCTCAGCCCATAACCATAGTCGGCTGGTACATATCGGCGATTTGCCTTATAGCTCTATGCGCGACAGCAAGCGGACCGCTGGAACTCCAGCCCCAGGTAGAATACGTCTGGTCTCAAGCCTTTTATTATGGCATATACGCAGCTATCCTCTACTTCATAGTAGCGTCTCTCATGGTCGTCACGGTCTGGGGCGCTGCAGCTGGTCATTATGCTAAGGACTTTGAGTTGACAACCAGCCAGAGGACACTAATGCTACAGACTATCGTCTTTCTAACGTACCTACTCGTAGGCGCCTTAGTTTTCTCTACCATCGAGGGCTGGGACTTTCTTGATTCCGTATATTGGGCAGATGTCACGCTTTTCACTGTGGGCTTCGGCGACATCTCTCCGCAAACTCGTCTTGGTCGTGGTCTCATCGTCCCATATGCGCTGGTTGGTATAATCAGCCTCGGTCTAGTAATTGGCTCAATTAGGAGTATGATGCTGGATCGGGGAAAGCACCGACTAGAAGCGCGTATGTTGGAAAAGCAACGTCGTCTATCAATCCGGCGCATAGTACGGAAGGGACACGCCGGCGTTCTTGAGCCCGTCGATGGCGACGTTTCGGACGCTTCGTCAAGATCTCGCTTGACGGAATTCGAGCGCCGCCAAAAAGAATTCCAGTTGATGCGGAAGATTCAACGGCAGGTATGTATGGAAAAGTGGTTATGACTTTCCTCCTGTACTTCCGTTCTCATACTAATCGGAGACAGTAAGTAACCAATATCCTCATTCACGCGATTCTCATTACGAGGTTTACGACTCGCGAAAAGTTCTGAGCCAACCGCACTCTCTTCTCCTTACATCATGCGTTTATCCAGATAGCAAGTAGAGAGCTAGCTAACAGGCAATAGGGCATCGACAAGGGAACGTTGGACTGCGATGGCTGTTTCTTCAAGCACTTGGGTCGTTCTTTGGCTTGTAGGTGCTAAGATCTTCCAAGAATGCGAGGCTCCATATCAAGGATGGTCCTACTTTGATGGCTTCTACTTTGCTTTTACGGCTTTAACGACGGTTGGGTACGGTGATCTCTCACCAGTATCCACCTCAGCAAAGTCTTTCTTCGTCTTCTGGTCTCTTCTCGCACTGCCTACGATGACAGTTCTCATCTCTAACGCAGGGGATACAATTGTTAAGGGCATCAAGGATGGTACGCTCCTCCTCGGAAATATAACAATTTTGCCTGGAGAGCACGGCTTTCACAAAGAGATAAAGCAACTGCTGGCGAAGTTATCCTGCGGAATACTGTTTATGGACGAAGACATCGAAGAATCTGTTCCGGGTTTCCTAGGTGCGGTTAACGAGCACGCGAATGACGATGAGGACGACGATGAAGACGAAGATGAAGAAGAGGATGTTGAAGACGGCCGTTCTTCCAAACCAAGCGACGTGAATAACGTAGAAACTAATCTTAAAGCCCAAAAAGATGCTGAGAAGGGAGAATCGGGGCCAACATCACCGCTACGACGTACTCCAACAGACCAAGGTACTGATACGCCGGAATCTACATCTAAGCGACCCCCTGCAAAAAGCACGGGAGCAAAGCCACCTAGGCGGTCATCCTCAGTAGCTCGGGAAAACTTCCCTACCGAACTACCCAAATCTCGTTCCGAATACCATCTCGTCCTAATTGACGAAATCTCCCGCGTAACTCAGCATCTGCGGCACTCGCCGCCCCGCAAGTACACGTTTAAGGAGTGGTCAGTAACCTATTTACTTCCGTTTTAACCCCGAGCCATTCCCGTCCCGTCCCCTCATCCCCAACAGATCCAACCAAATCGATCAATCAATCACAAGAAAAACCCCGTCGGACTTTCGACGAACTACCGCGTCCACCTACCCATATCCACCAATTTCCAACCCTTTTGCTTTTAGCCACG